CCCCACCCCCCTGCCCCTCACAGCCCCAGCTGCTCTGCTCTTACCTGGCTCGCAGACAGGCACCTCCTTGCCAGCTTCAGGGCTCACCCACAAGTGATCCTCATCACACTTGTATGTGCCTTTTGGGGGAAAAAACAGAGTCAGCAACCCTGCCCCACAAGGGCCCTGCCACCAGGGAGGCATGGAGGTACTTGTACCTCTCACCCCAAGGCTTGGGGGAGCATGGGTAGCTACTCCTAGCCCCTAGGAAGGTGAGGGTGGCTCCATGCATCCCCAGGAGCCAGGAACAAGCCCCACCCCTGGGTGCAGTTGCCCATCCCGTGTGCCTCACCATCACCAGAGCCGCGCAGCTGGTAGTAGGGGTTGCAGCGGTACTTGATAAGGTGCTCCACATAGCCGTGTTCAATATCCGCAGGCTTTGCACAGCTCCACTCTGCAGGCAGAGGACACTCAGCTCGCCCAGAAGACCCAGCACAGACCCACCTCTTGAGAGTCCCTCCCCAGTCCCGTCTTCCCTGCCCCGTGCCTGTTCCCTGCCAAGCTGCCCCTAGCTTTGTCCGAACCCCAGCGCTCCCACCCTCGCCCTGGAAGGTACCGGTGGCAGCTGCAGTCTCCAGCACGGTCCAGGCCAGGCCAGCAACCAGCAGCAGTGCAGTTCTGCAGGGAAGAGAGGGCACACTCAGCAGAGAACTCCTACCCCCTGCTCCCAGTCCGTGAGCTCCACCAATGCCCTGGACAGGCTCATGCCCTCTCAGGGGTTCCCTCCCCATGAGGGCAGGAGGATGATCCCATACCCTCAGAGCTGCCCATCACAGCCTGGAGAAGTCACCTGGGCCAGACCTGGACCCTGCTGCTGTGCAGGACAAGGCTGCAGTGTTGGGACCCAGAGCGTTTCCAGGCCCAACAGAGGTCCTGCCACAGCCTACAGGAGGGCCAGGTGCTCAGCCAGGCAGGCAGGACGGAGACAGCACCAAGCACGACACACCAAGTCGCTCACCCCATGATCATAGCTCTGTCTCGCACAGCAGCCACCTTCTGCAGGTCGATGCTGTTCACGGCTCCCTCCTCAGCCCTTTTATTGCCACCTCCCTCGCCCTGGCACAGCCCAGTGTTCTCCAGACCTCCTGACCCTGCTGCATGCTGCCAGCACCTTTCCCAGCAGGAGGAACACAGAAAGTCCCACCTGGCTCACAGCCGGCCTGGCAGAATCTCCTGGGAAGCCAGCCAAGCCCTCATGGGAAGCCAGCATGCCAAGAGTTTCTGGGATTTTGCAGCTACAAATATTCAGGGAGGGATCTGGTTGCAGAGGCCAGTGCCCTGGTGTTGCGACACCAGCTGAGGTTCACAGAGCAGAGCCAGCCCCTGTCCCTGCAAAACTGCCCTGTGCCACCACCTGGAGCGGTCCCTGTGGGGGCACCCGACAGCCCTTCAGGGCACAG